TGTTGAATGGCAGTCCTAAGCAGTTTGCTCATCATACTGCTGTGACTAGCATTGATGATTGACAGGTAGGCATTTAGTATACACGGTTACCATAGCTAATCCCTTTGTCTAGCGTATCATTGTTTGCGGCGCCAGGTTATTAAATGTGCATGGTGTCATATTATTCAATCTAAATTAGTCATTAATGTAATCTGGACCAGCCTGGCTGGGAATGCACAGAGGGGTCTCCTGCTACATAAGAGTAATACTACATTTAAGATTCAGACACTAGGTCTACCCAGGTTTATTCACAGCTCCCTCAGTATGTTCGTCCACGGTGAAAACAGCGAAAGATGCGCTTGCCTAAAGCCCCTTGGTTTTCGCACCCCTCCTCCATGCCACCGCCACAGGTAGAATCACATTTTGGTGGGAAGCACTGCAGCCTTGTACATGGTTTATCACAGCAGTAAAACTGCAACGCATGATTGAACACTTGAAGTGAGACGATCCCAGAACACTTTGTCAAGAAGGCAGCGGCAGAAAGACAGCTGTTTAACTTTTGTCTGCACCCAAGCATGATATGATTGTATTATCAACATGCAAAACGTCTTTCTGTTAGAAGAAGTCAAAATAGATTTTCAAACTGTTTTTTCATTGCCCCCGTGTTTTAGGTACTTATCAACATCTCACAATCATCTACATTGTTATTCGACTATTTTAAAAACATAGCTTACACTGACTGTCCTCATTTAGTGACTTTTGTTACAATCTGTAAATCATTTAAATTATATTCCTTACCACATACTAAAGCAAAAAAATTGCCAGTGATTGCGTATGACTATGGTGGTTGAATAAATCCATGTCATCACCATTTTAATATAATTTCAGTATGATACTGCAGCTAAATATTTGATGATTTGGTTTTTTAAAGAATAATTGTAAGATTAATCAATAAAAAAGTGAGATGAAGCCCTAATAACCCAGTAATATTATGAATTGCATAAATGACTACTTGCTAACTCGCTATTTCTATAAACTTCTTCGTGTGGGTTTCTGTTTGTTGCCATGGATACTTGGCATCTAGCCTGTGCTGCTCTCCCAACAGCCTTGTGTGTCCAAAAAAAACAACCTTTCTCCTGTTTTAGTGGAAAAGGGGGATAAAACAGGCAGAAATGCAACTGCAGCTTCTCTCCAGTTACCATGGCGAGCAACAGATTTCTCGGCACCACTGAAGAAGAAATTCCTTCAGCAGGCAGGAAGGCTGATTTGAAAAAAAGGAGGAAGGGATTACTGGAGGCCTTAATTAGGAAGGTGGGGTTTTCCTTGCCTTAATCACATTTTGGGAAGTGGGGGGCGTGGGAAGGTGTGAGTAAGCTAAAGGTGGAGGCGTGGTCACCTGCTCTGTAGCTGCAGTTCACAGAGTCAGGCAGCTGTTGACGTGCTCTTAATTGCATGTTTGACATTGGATGAGACTCGAAGGGAATCCTTGGCGATGCTTGAGTGAGTACGATAAGGGCTCGAGGAAGAGAAAAGAGTGACGTGAGATTAAAACAGGAGGAGGAGGAGGGCGCAGACGGCTACGGCATGTTTGTGTAGGAATCAATTTGCACCCGAATTGCTTGTGTGCACTGTTTCGAAACATGCACATTTGCGTAATTTGCAACGACAGTGTTTGTGTTTCCCTGACAACGCGCTGACTTCTTTGTGTACGTACACATTTATGGAGCAGAATGGGTTCCCATTAGGGACGATTGTGTCAGCTTAGCCTCCTCATTTTCTTCTGTCATGCTCCCTTGCATCTCATAAACACACATACATGTGAACAAACACGCATTCTAGTCATCTAACATCAGCGCCATCCTAATATCACATTTAAATGCATGTTGCTGAGGGCGCACTCACTCACAGAGGCACAGAGGATGGCATACAGAGGAGGCGTGAAACCCCCTGGGTGTAGACACACAGTCATAGAAAGAGAGACACAGACACACTGCAACATTGCACTCCATCTTATCACAGACACCTCTGAATAGAATGCGTGCACACACTTTAAGCTCAGAATAAAAAGACGTATCAGACACAACGTACCCACAAAGCTGTATCGCACACTGGGATGTACAATACACTCGCATGTATTACACTTTAACTAGAAATCCCCCAAAGTAAATACAGTATATTGGAAACATCCTTGCATGCATTCGCTGGCACTAGCACATTAATTGCCGTCTTGGTGTTGCAAAATATGTGTTCCATCAATTAAAGTCAGACAAGCTGAGTTGGGATTATGAATATTTATGAGTTGTTTCCAGGGCGATGTTGCATAACTCGGAAGCTGTTTTATTTTGGTCTCTGTTGGCCCCACATTCAGAGTCATGAATGATAGAATTATAAAATGGATGCACATGCTGTTGTTTGAGGGATAATTAGTTTGAAACGTCTGTCTGTTTCCTGGTCGTCTCGCTCATTCACTTCTCATCGACTTAATGTCACAGTCTCAGTTCGTTGGCTCCCTTTCACATTGTGATTCCTCGTTATTCTTCACATCCTAAACATATTTTTTGCGGTTGCTCACATACTGTGATACAAATGCATGCTGGGAAAGGATGCAGCCCCAATTTAACCTGACCAGGATAAGCGATATTGGCAAATGGACGCTTGATGCATGCTGATCACGCATCAACCTTTCCAGTTTCCTGCTAGCCCTATTTTTCACAATGTATTCATCTCTTTCCTGCATTTATGTCTTCTTCCACATGAACTTATATTTAGTTATTTTCCTTACTTGTTTCTGTTTGGTACCTTGGTGTCTCACCATGAACCTTAGTGTGTTTGTTCTCCTCATTATGTGTGTATACCGTGTTCTACGATATTTCTAAATCCCCCCCCCTTGCCTATAGTTCAAAGTCACAAGGTCCCCTAAATTCATGTTTTACTTGTATATTTCAGTTTTGTAATGCATTCTTAAAACACTGTCTAGTTGCAAGCGCAAGTCTCTCACCCACCAGTGTCCATGCATGAAAGACCTTTACTTTCACTTCATCAATCATGTGCATTGTGTGCCTCTGTTGTTCCACCACACCCTCCCTAACACTTAAAAGGTGCTCTAATAAAGTTGTCTCAGCTTTCACATTATAGTCTCATCATACCAGAGCTACCAATAAAGACATCTGCTCCTACCTTTTTCCTGATCAGCTGTAACGTTGGACAATGTATGGATGATGTATGGACGAGTGCATGTAAAACACAGGAACATACAAGTTTAAATACAAACTAAAATCCACAAGGGCTAAGAGCAGGATGATACAATACTTCTTAAGAAACAAATAAGACTTAATCAGCAGTTTCGACAATCTCTTTTTGCTCCACAGACGCCATAGTTAGCCATAAACATTATATATAAGATTTTAAATACACTGGCCTAGTTTTGAAGCATTTTTACACACACTGAAAACCATATTTGGTTATCGGGTCTAAATGCTAATCAAAAAAGTATTTAATATATCATTTCATTTTGACTTCTATCAACCCACACTGCTGTTCTCTTGGCAGACGACAGACTCACATATGCAGGCGGGTCAAAGGGTACAGCCTGAGTAAAACACACACAGCATTGTTTCCTGGAGCTGTGTCTCTGTGGAGGATTGCAGCTGAGTCCACACGGATCACAGCAGGTCGCTGGTTCCTCACACATTTCCTGTGTTTATCACACGGAAGATGATTAATGAACACACTCACATGTTTGCAGTCAGCTGACGCACGCAGTTCAATTCAAGATATCTCATATATCTATTGTAACTGACATATAAAACATTGAAACACTGTTGAGTTGTGAGGGACACAGTGGCACAAACTGTTGCACATATTCATCCTCATTAATGTCATATCATTTGAACTATGGCAACTTAAGCAGTTCAACCGGGTTGATAAAAACGTATGGGACTGACATGTGTCCCATGTTACATTCTCTATTCCATTCATTTAATGTAATGTTTTATAGTTTAGTATGTTGCCTCGTGCAAGACATTCAAACGTTTCACACGTTTTACTCCTAAGCTGATTAATACAGAGGAAATGACCTAAACATTTAAAGATGATTTGTTATAGAACAGCTGCCAGTGTTTTGTTTGGCTAGGATTGTATTTGTGTAAACCCACATAACACCATGCAAGATGATTTTTAAATCTCCCTTTAGTTACAGCAGAAGAACAGTACCGTGTCATTGTCCTCCTGTCACCATTGCTCCAGCATCCTGCTGTTTTTGTTTTTCATTACCGACCCATGTCCTCATGGGGTAGAGTAGTTCTAGCACCCTGGGGCTTGTTACCACCAAAGATGATGTTCTCATTCTGGCACCGCTTGACTTCTCCTTGTGTTCCTCTGCACCTGCCCTCCTTCCTGGAGCAGATGTAATTGCAGCGTGGTGGAGACTTTTTTTGGGTGTGATTTTGTCTTGTTTTCTGCAGCTGTTAATTGCAGAGGATGAGAAACCAGTTTTTTTGGTCAACTTTCTAAAATGGCATCACATGTGATATTCTATAGATCTTAAGTGTCACAAACTGGTCAGAGGTGTTATTTCACACGGCAAACGCATCCTTATTTTCATCTTCAACACAGTCTATCATCTATTTCCCAGAGGTTCAGTGTTTCTTCTGAAAGTTCATTTTTAATTAATTTGAAAAAGAGTAAGGCTCGGGAACACTAGCATCCACTTAGTGGAAGCTTTTGATCAAGGGGGCGTTGGGGAACTCCAGTTCGAAACCCGCTCCCGCCCCACTGCGTCAGGCCGTTGTGTCCTTGGGCAAGACACTTCACCCAAATTTGCTCCTGTGGGTATTGTCCACAGTAGATGACCATTACATGTATGATCTGTATGTGTAATGTGTATTTGTAAAGCGCTTTGAGAGTCATTGGTAAAGCGCTATAATAAATATAAGGATTATTATTATTATTATTACTAAGAATGTGAAAATAATAACAATAGAAAATTCACCTTCTGCATTTTACCTACCCCCCCCCCACAGGGAGGAGGAGGAGAGCCTGCGGGACAAGATCCGAGCAGACCACGAGCGAGCACTGCAGGAGGCCAAGGAGAAGCTGAGGAAGTCACGTGAAGAGCTGCAGGCTGAGATTCAGACTGAGAAAAACAAAGTAATGGAGGAACTGAAAAAGAAGGATGCGGGGCCTAAACCTTTGCCACCCGTCCCCATGCCAAAGGTGGTGGGTGTCAGCGATGGTGAGCCTGCAGAGCCGGACGTCAAGGAGAAACGAGACAAGATCAGAGAGGTAAGAGGCCCTTTGACCGCTCTTTGGATATCCTAGTAGTAAGTAGCTTCTCTGCCATTTTGACTGGGATGTGCTTCTATGGCAGCATGTGGGGTCATGCACACTGAAGCCCATCAGGGGATTGTTTTTGGTTTCTTTACTGCTTCTTACTGATGGGGCCAGCGACACACTGAGGGACTCTTATTAGTAGGAGTGCAGCAATTAAACTCTGTGATAAAACTGCTCTTAAACTTAGCTGAAATGAATGAAAGCTGAAGCTAAATACTGATTTTAATATATTGTATTATTCTCAATAAAAGTAAGGTCCTGTACACTGAACCTATTAGCATATTATCCTCCTTGGGTGTTTTTATCATCAGAGCTCTAGACGTTTTCAATCTTTCAACTCCTTCTTTAAATGATTTTGTTTGTTAAAAATATGCATGTTTAGCAAAAGATCTAATGTAGGAAGCTCTATAAATATGACTTTATAATCAGATCAAGTCTAACTTGCTTGCATCAAAGCAGCTCCATACATTAACAAAGGCAACATTTAGTACCAGAAACAAGGAAACTGACTTAACATCAAATTACAATCACTGAGGACAATATGTTCAACACTCAATGAGAACTATTTAAAAAGGTGCCACTAATTGCCATCATTATCCTGTCAATTCTGTGTATATAATCCAGCGTTTCTCAAAGTTTGGGGCGCGCCCCACTGGTGGGGCGCAGAGATGTGATAGGTGGGTCGCGAATGGACGCGATGAATGGGAGATTATTTTTTTTAATTTAAAAACCTGGGTCCTCGTGGGCGGTAGTGGATTATTACAGCCGGAGACTCGCAACGGCGGTGGACTTTCACAGCACCGCTGCACCGGACCTGCCGCCAGAGCCTCGCAACGGCGGGTGTTTGCGGCGGCGGATGCGGTACCGGCGCAGCGGCGTTGTGAAAGTCCACGGCCCACCTATGCCAGAGCCAGCGGCCCACCAACGGCAGCGGCCCAACGGGAAAAGTCCCGAATCTCCTGATGGCCAATCCGAGCCTGCTCACACACACACAACTGAAACCAAAGTCATTTGCAGACATATGTAAAAATCTCTCATACACACATGTGAAACGCTCTCACACACAGACACAACAGCGTTGCAGTCAGGAAGAAAAGCAATGTGGAGCGGCACCTCACCACTTCATAAGGAGTTTAACCGTGACACTTTTCGAAATCCTGTTTGTGTCCCCCCATTTTACAAATAGGCCTATGTTTATTATTATCTTTTAACGCAAGCCATCATCGCCACGGTGGAGCACACAGCCTCTGTGAGCGAGCGAGACACAGAGACAGAGAGAGAGAAAAAACACACCTTTATCTATTTAATATAGGCCTAGCCTAGTTGTACAAAATAAAGTAAGAAATCATTCCAATGTGTACTATAGGACAGTAAACAGTTTAAAAGGGGAGTGATTAGTAATGCATAAATAAAAAGAAAGAATGCTAACTAGGTAGTTTTGAGAGATGAATCCATAAATTCATTTCGTGCTCAAAGTGCACCAGATTGATGCATTTAACTTCAACATTTAAAAAACAAATCATACATTTTCTTTTCCCTGCAAACGGGTCCCACAGACCCAAACAGCACACAAAGGTTAAAGGTAAGCATATAATAATGTTAAAATGTGCTAAATATATACACTGCAAAAAAACTGAAAAGGACAACTTGTTTTATTTTTTGAAAGTAGCTCTCATCCTAAAAAAGGTTGGAGACCCCTGTTATAGAACGATACATTTGTCCATTTTAAGCTTGGCCTACCATTTTATTGGAGTGGCGAGGAACAGGTGGGGCTTGAAAAGGCTCACCTGTTCAAAGCGGGGAATGCCAGACAAAGTTTGAGAACCACAGATATAATCTAACCTGTGACACTTTGTGTGTTGGTGATAGTCCGGCTCATATTACTATATCAGTCCCATCAGCTATCTGTTGACATGTCATTCTTTAAAGCCCATCTCTGGGTAAAAACTCGTAGTCTCACAATTTATTCTTTGGTGAAATTTGAATCCCAGCATTTGTGTGGGAGGACCAGTTTCTGATTGACTATACTGTACGTCTGAATACTTTTGTGTTGCTGCTGTCTGTCTCTGCGCCAGCTTTTATTCAAGGCAGCATGGAGCCAGACAGACGGGCCGAGCCTGTGCAGAATGCAGATGGTGCTATCTGTGGTCTCGCTCTCTATAGACACTGAGCCAGCCCCGGCCTATCTCCCTTTCTCCGCTCCGCTCCTCTCCCTTCTTTCTCTTCCCCCTGCAGGTTCTCCTGCATAATTACCTCATATCGTCTCTCTTGAAACAGCACTTGGAGTCAGAACACTGGCGGTGCAAGGGAGCTGGCCCATTCAGTTCCAAAACCGCCTTTGTCTCTAAATGCCCCTTTTGTGTCCTTCATAAATACCATTCAGAAAGAATGCTATACATTCCCAAATGAGCAGGAAAGTAGCAGCTGTATTGGCTACAACTCAGTACACCGCACTCCTCTTTTCCTGGTTGCCTCGTGGAAGCAAGGAGAAGTCACAGTCACACACCAGCGTACAATTGTGCCTATGACTGGAGCTTTCTCTGTCTCAAAAAGCCTCGCTGCACACAGACAGCAGTCGTTTACCCTACATTAGTAAAACCCAGGGAGGAGTACCGGCACACATCTTCTTGTCATCATTTATGTTTCATGTAGACAGTAAGTAGTGTAGTGGTAGTTGTGCAGCCAGTGTGTTACCATGGTACTCTCCAAGGGACTATACCATCTGTCTGACCTGAACACTGACACTGTCTTTCATGCAATCGTTTCTTAGGGATATTTTGGTTCAAAGCTCATCACTGTGAAGGATCAATAATTAGGGATGCTCCGATCGCCAATTTCGGGGCCGATCGCCGGAATCAGTATCGATACCGATCAAGTGGGCGGGGCCTAAATGGAAGATTTAAACATCACTTTAAATCTTCCATTTAAAGTGATGTTTAAACTCAGTTAATGGGGCTCATTCACTGGAGCTTCCACAAACAACAATCAACTTAATTATTACATTCAAATGATGTACATTATTCAAGTTTACATTCACTTTGGATAATAACTAATAACACGGGAGAAATGAGCGGAAGCGCTCTCTTTTCCTCTCTCTCTCTCTCTCTCTCTCCCCCCCCTCTCTCCCCCTCTCTCTCTCTCCTGACAGCCTGTCAGTATCTCATGCAGCTCACTGATCCAGTAATGAGTGACCCGACAGTGAAGAATAAATATATTTATAATAACTAGTTCAGCTTGTTCCAGAGGTAGATCAAATAGCTACAGTGAGTAAGGTCTAACTCTTAGTGTGTGTTGCTCCGCTCACCGATCCGTCTCAGCGGGCGGAGCTGCAGGATTTCTGCTTCACACACGTTGCATTCCGCTATTTTACTGTCTTTTTCGGACACCTTGAAATACTGCCAGACCGGTGAAGCCATTTTGGCGAGCTTGTTTTGCCGCGCACAGAGAAAAGTGTCATGTATTTTACGTCATGCGATCGGCTCTCACGATCGGCATGTTTAGAGAGCACCGATCGATCGGTAGAGAGTGAGTATCGGCCGATCTCGATCGGTGACCGATCGATCGGAGCATCCCTATCAATAATGAATATGTTAACCTTTAAAATACATGGGCTTGCATGAGGTGAAGAAGCCTTGAGTGCTGGTTATCAATTTGCTATTTTACACTTGTTATTTTTAGGTCATTTTCTTATTCCCTTATATTGGATATTCAGATGTAGTAGCTAAATGAATATCAATAACGAAATGCATTGACTCAGATGAAGCTTCTAAATATCCCTGCTTTTTGAGCGTGTTCTGGTGATAATGATAAGTAGTAGTGAGTCTAAATAACCTCATAACGAGACCATTTGAATTAGGGCTGAACGATTAATCGATTTTAAATCGAAATCACAATTTTAAATGATGCAATTATCAAATCGCAAAGACTGCAATTTTTTTAAGTTTTTTTTAAAACATGTTTTTTCTTTTGTTCTTCTTGTGTGTCAGTCATCCACACCAATCAGAAGTGCTGTGCTCCACATGTACCAGCCATTGTTAACCAATCAGGAGTGGCCCATGATAGAAGGTGATAGACAGATTGATCCAATCACCTGCCAACTATTTTTGAAATACTTTTCCAAATGGCTTCCAATGGAGCTTTCCTAGATGGTTTGGTGAACCATCGGAGTCAGGTTAGTGACGCTCCATCACATGTTTCTATTACAGGGTGAATCTTAAACTGAAGCTCGACTTTAAAGCAACCCAACGGAAGTTTCATGTAAGTTTAGTTCTTTCACTCGTAGCTCGGGCTGCGGAGGTGCTAGAGACGGGAGCACGTTGATGCGACCTTCCTAGCCGGAGATATGGCCGCATTTTATAATAAACTTCCGTTGGGTCGCTTAAAAACAAATATCACAAATTGAATCGCAATATTTGTCAGAAAGATCGCAATCATATTATTTCCCCAAATCGTGCAGCCCTGGTTTGAATCTCTATTTTAGCGTCTTTGTGGTCTTTATCTGCACTGAGATTTGTGAATAAAATAACAGTTGCTGTGGAGAGAAATCAGGGAGATTCCCCGGATCCAGCAGCGCACTTTGCTGCTCTGTGGACCAGCCACTCAGGCCCTTTGTTCGTCCAAAAATAGAAATGAAACCCCTTTCTATGCCATTAAGATACATATTTTATAGTCTGTACAGAGCACAAGAAACTACTTTTCCCAGCACTTCCATCATTTCACAGCTCTGTGCTCTTTCGCTATTCTGCTAATTACCCGACCCACACATTAGCGGCCATTAAACCTCAGTCTGGAGATGGAGAGCGCTTTAGGGCAATATACGGAAAGAGATGGAATGAATTTAACTATTAACTGTTCCAATACTATTCACCTGGCACATCATGAAGTATTGCTCGCTCAGAGCTGTTGGAGTTAATGACCACAGTTCACATTCAATAAGGTTTGTTCATCAATAA